ATTTATGTGACCTCAGAATGAAGGGGTAATGTGGCCAGTGGTCAATATGGCAGATGTGTTTACATTTATGTGACCTCAGAATGAAGGGGTAATGTGGCCAGTGGTCAATATGGCAGATGTGTTTACATTTATGTGACCTCAGAATGAAGGGACTTGGCCAGTGGTCAATATGGCAGATGTGTTTACATTTCTGTGACCTCAGAATGAAGGGATGTGGCCAGTGGTCAATATGGCAGATGTGTTTACATTTCTGTGACCTCAGAATGAAGGGATGTGGCCAGTGGTCAATATGGCAGATGTGTTTACATTTCTGTGACCTCAGAATGAAGGGATGTGGCCAATGGTCAATATAGCAGATGTGTTTACATTTCTGTGACCTCAGAATGAAGGGATGTGGCCAGTGGTCAATATGGCAGATGTGTTTACATTTCTGTGACCTCAGAATGAAGGGATAATGTGGCCAGTGGTCAATGAGGCAGATGTGTTTACATTTCTGTGACCTCAGAATGAAGGGATAATGTGGCCAGTGGTCAATGAGGCAGATGTGTTTACACATTTATATATATATATACAGTGGTATAAAGGACTTTGTGTGACTATAAATGCTTAGCTTCTTGCAAAAAAAGGAGTATTTGATCCAAAGTATTTCTCCTATTCATGACCAACCTAAAAAGTGACATCTCCAATTATGTGTCGTTTGCCCATTCACTGGTCTACTTTTTTTAAAAAGGTGATAGAGAATTTTTTTTTTTTTAAAAAGCGCCAATGGTAAGTACCTACACACTCAACAATAAGTAGACCTCTACTTCATTCCACTGAGCTAAAATGCCAGCTTTATTACTGGTGCTTTTAAAACTGGCAGAATCTTGAGCCTCTGTTGCAGCATATTTCTTGAACAGATGTTTATTTTTTTGTATTTATTAGAACATGAAATTCCCACCCCCACGTTATTATGACACCACCTTTTGAGATAATATCAGGTCAGACAAACAGGGGCTTGACTTACTATGACTTAGTCCTCTACTCCTTTAGCCCTATTAGACTTCACAGGGCCTTGACTATAGTCTTCCACTTTGTCTGGTTCCTGGCTGTGTATTTTGCAGGCAAATAAGAAACATGATGAAAACTATTGCCAAATAAAAACCAGTTTAGCTCTGTTAATAAAGAATTTATATAAAATAAAATATTTTATTTACTAATCATCTCAGCTAATAAAATAATAAACTAATATGGGGCAAATGCAAAAAAGAGGGAGGGGTGTGCACTTTGAAACAATTGGTTCATTTTGATTTACAATGTTTGTTTTGTTTAAATAGTTAAAATGTACAAGTTCTTATAAAATAATTTTATGTATCACACCAACCATTTTTGGATAGAGTTATGCCCCTTTCTCTGTAGCTGTGCACAGTAGAAAAAATTCTTTGTGGGGTCTTGACCTCTGCTTGATTTGATGACCTACAAATGACAAAATATTAAAAATTACATTAGATGAAAAGTGAATATTGTTAAACATGCTCTACTCTTTTAAATGTAAATATTCAAAAACATTTCAATGTTATAAAGGGGTGTCTTGGTTGATGATAAGGCCCAAGAGAATTTTATTTTTGTATTAAGGTACAAGAGGAATATGTACTTGTTTTATGGTATATAGAATGCTTTGGAATCTGTACTTGTACTAAGGTACACTGAGTGCTGACAAAACTCATGTGACTCAGACTCATCCAGCATACAAAAATAGAAACAAGGTGGGGCCTCAACACGCGCCATGGAAGCAATTATATCAGACCTTCTGTGACCTTTCAGTTGCCAAGCAACACTCTCAGCCTCAGAGACTGCTGGGGACATACATTGCCAGATTTTAATCAATTCACCCTAGCTGACATTACGTTCTCTGTAATTATCAGATGAGTCAGAGCAAGCACATGACTGCCTGCATCAAAGATCAATAATCCATGATAAAGAATTGATTTTCCTGCGTTATTGTCAATTTAAGAGAATGAGGTTTTCATAAGCGTTTTATGAACATACGTTTAAACATATTAGAGTACTGTAAATAAGCATCAGATCTATCAGTATAATAGGCTAACACAAAAAAAGCCTAATACTGAAACTGACATGTAAAAAACAGAACCTAATTTTAAAAAAACCTTAAATTTTTATCTTTAAGCCTGTAAATTATTATTTAGGTACATCTAAGTACATATAACCTCAACTGTTTCATTAAAATGGTAGGTTTTATATATAGGTACACTGCTCCCTGGGTAGTCATCAACATTCTAGGCTCATTTGTGATATCAAATTGAGTTAAAACACCAAAGATCTAACAAATTCCCAACCACTGCGACAAAGTAACTGAGAATTACGGCAGGTTAGAATGTGCTGCAAATATACACTATTTGACAATAAGGCAAACATTACCTAGGAACTGATTCAAGTCAATCTAGTTTTTTATTAGTTTAAAGATGTTGATTCCTTTTTCAAGTACATTTTTTTAGTGCTTTTGAGACTTTTTAAAAACTCAAATCCCTATTTATCTACAGAAGTGTAGCACTGTAATTAGGGTGTAAGAATGGAAAATTTATGGAGTAAGTCACACAAGTAGACAGCTATGCTTGTTGGTAAAATACATTAAACATAAGATTGGTAGCAGAAAACAATTGGGGCAGATTGATTGATAGGACGGAGTGGTCTAGCGGTAGAGAGCTGGACTGCTAACCCATAAGTCTCGAGTTCGAATCCGGGTTCAAGTCATTAGACCGTCCCTGAGTCCACCCAACTCTGATGGGTACCTAACTCACGTTAGGGAAAGGAAAGGCGGCTGGGCCTAGTGCTGACCACACTATCTCTTCATATGCCGAGGTCACAGAAACAAGTGAACTCTACTTCACATGCCCCATAAAACATCAGGTTTGAAAGGGAAACTTTATTTGATTGATAGGAAGTCAAATTTTACCAGTTTCTAATACATTGGAGATTTAAGCTGTTTTTGTTGATAATAGTTTGCGAATTGCTGAATTCAAAGTTTACCCTATACATTCTTTTAGATAAATAAATATGGATTTAGACATAATTTTCAAGATTCTGAATTGAAACATGTATCTGATGAAGTTGCGTAAATATTTAGAGCAGCAAAACCAGAAAAAAATTAACTTTACCAAATTAAACTTAGATAATAAAGATAGAAATAGATCAGCTTATTAAATGTGAATTCCATACATTTTTTGTAAGAATGTAAATTCTGGGGTGGCCCTTTTTAAATCTATTTACAATGGATACCATGTTTCACACATTATATTTTTATGGTTAAATAAAATTGTAGTTCAAATACAAACTGAGAAATACCAAACTTCAGCACATGAGGTCTACAATCCCACATTTCCCCCATGAGTCAGTCAGTCTACTCCAGGAAACTAATTTGTAAACAATCTGTTTCCACCTTGCTAATCTGGATGACTGTATACGTTCGACATCTTGGTGAATCTGTTGACTGCCCTCTGGCCTGTCATTCCCTCCTGATGTCCTATTTAACGTGCTGACTGAAATAAAAAATGTAATTTTTTAAAAATTAAATGTACTTAATTTTTTACAGATATAGATTGTCTCCCCTCCATTGCACAAATAAATTATATCATTGTATAATAGTTGTATCTAGTGGTATTATAAGATTAAATATTAAGTGGTCACCCATGCAGAGTTTTCATGTGACATGAAACTCTAATCCCACCATTTATATATAAATATTTTAAAGCTTTAACAAATTTTTGAAGTGATTTTTTTCAAAAATAGAGGGTTCTATAATAGACTATATTGCCTTTGCTGTTAAACTACTTTTGTTTATCATATGCAGATTCTGATTGTCTCCCCTACATTGCACAAATAAATTGTATCATTGTATTAGAGTTGAATATAGTGGTATTACAAGATTGACTACAAAAAGATCACCGATTCAAGGTTTCCATGTGACATAAAACTCTAATCACTCATTAACATATAAATATTTCGAAGCTTTAACGAATTTTTGAAGTGAATTGTTTAAAACAAAGAGGGTTCCAAATTGCATTTTCTGTTAAAATTCTTTAAACACACAGGAATTCTCTTAAATGCATTTTAAATTCCAATTTAATACTTCAAATTTTAATATGATTTAATTTCTTATTAAATGTGGAATATATCTGATTTTTACTTGATGGGTTGTTTTTTAAATTTCCATGCTACTTTGACAGCAGGGGCTAGCCTATTAGAATTCCCTTTGTTAAAATGTATGATTACTAACCTGAACATTATGATTTTTATGTTAACACCACCTATATCCAAACTGGGAGGTTTTAATACTCAGGGGGAGAAAGTTAAATCCTGGTGCAAACCCAAGGGTTTAGCTGCTAGGACCTTGAATCTAAGATTAGCTTTGTTTTTCATCCTGCTATGGTCTGACTGGCTCAAAGAGCATTGCTTGAGGCTAATATAAGAGATAAAGAGATAAATTTAAATGATAGTCTTCAATTCTGTTCACCAATATCAGAGATTATCCTGAAAAATATATTGTATATGTAAGGATAACTATTAAGGATAATAAATTCAAATAAATTATTTGGTGACAAGAAAGCTGTGCAATGGAAAACTGTGAACAAAAATGTGCACGAGGGAATTTATTTTTTTTAAATCAATCATTTAAAGACTTAAGCAAAGAATGATGTGTACATTGTAGGATTTAAAAATATTTTTCCACAAAATATGACAAAATAAAAGTGTATTAGTATAGTTTGTTTTCCATTTGCACATCTTTCTGGAAACCAAATTATACTAGCCAGAGCCTTTTTTCTTCTTTTATGTAAATAGTTTTTATAAATATTTAGAAACTTTTTTTTTAGCGAAATTCATTTGTAAAAATAATATCCAACAAATTAAAGTTATTTCTAATTAAATTTTTATTTAAAAAGTTTATAATTTTTTATAATTCAGATAGTTTTCAGTCGATGAATACAAGACATACCAAATTTGAGGAGTGAGCTCTGAAGGTAAGTTTTTCTTTATATCACTCTCCACTGGATGTGTCACACACTTGCACATAGCTGTGAAGAGATATAATGTATGAATAGATAAGTTCAATTCAAGTCTTTTACAATGACATCAAATATATGCACGCACAAATAGTAGTTTTATCAGATTCATACTTGAAAGAAAATTAAAACATGGTGCATGATAATTAATCTCATGAATCCTTAAAGAATAAAATACTTGAGCTAACAGAATTAAAAATCTTTAAAAAATCGACATGGTTTTTAAGACTAACTAGAGAATAAAGCTAATAATTGAAACCACTATAGTAGCCTGAAATAAATTATTGTAATTTTTCAGGGGTACGAGGTAAAAAACAACTTAGGCAATTGGCTCACTGGTAATTATTTCGATGGACCAGAATGCATTAGAAAACTTTTAAAAGCATATTTCATTAAGCTAGGCTCTAGTGTCTATTTATTAATTTTTAACTTGTCCTTTTGAATAAATCTGATAAAAAAGAATACTTCTAATTGTCTTCTCTTCAGAAACATCTAAACTGCACAAAACTATTTACCATAGTATTGTGTTCGGCATTCATCAATCGATTAAAACATCATATAGAAAGAAACTAAATTTAAAAAGCGAGTTAAACTTAAATAGTACAATGGCCATGGAATCCTGCCCCACCCCATTCACGATTATAATAACAATTACTGGGGACAACACAGGCCAAGTGAACTACGACATGATCCTGAAGGTCTTGAGGCAGCATGCTAACATCTATACTGATCACATCCTGAGCCTGTCCACATCAGGCAAACCTGATGTCTGGTACCTCAAGCTGACCGACCATGCCAACAGCAGGTTGTATGATGAGTTTCATGGCACACGGTACTTTCACCACAGGAATATAGTGTTTACTTTTAAACATTTAGACAAGAATTATGTATGGGCAAGTCTCCATTGCGTGCCTCTGTTATTTTTTAAAGCAGATGTTCAGGAAATTGTTGAGAAAATTTCCAAACCTTTTACTGAGGTTTTTGTGAAAAATGAGCTCAATGGGAGGTGGACGATTTGTTTTGTTCCAGCCAATGCCAACATTCCTCACTACATAAATGTGAAATACAGCGCAAACAATTGCGACTCAATTCTTCTGGTCTTGCCTGGCAGAAAACCAGTCTGCTACATTTGTGGACAAGCTGACCACAGCACTTCAATGTGTCCTTATGAAATGCTGTCTAAATCAAAACAACAGGAGATTAATTTGCAGTTGCATATAACTGAGGTGCATCTAAATGATGAGTATAGCGAAAATTCAAATCCAGGAAAAGCACAATATACAGGAGAAAATTCTGCATCCAACATGTGGACAGATGACGATACTGACAGCGTACTTGCAATGGCTCCGTCTTGGCCATCAAACCCTGAAGAAATGTGGTGCGTAGATAAATTTGAAACACTATCAAATTCACAAAACCCTCAATCGGCATCAGAAAGTGACAACACATTAAAACCCAAAAATATTTTAAAAGCAGAAAAGGCTCGAGATGATTTCACCAGCCGCTGCATGGAGATGCCGGAGATAAGGAAAAATTATTTAGCTGGGCTGGAGACAGCGCTCAACTTGGTCGCAGCGGCACCACTGCTGCAAGACCTTGACCCTAATTTAGATTTAGCCATGCTGTTGGGCCGGGAAAACGAAGAGGAAAACCTGCCACAAGAGATGGTTGAGGAAATAAAAAATTTAGGAATTTCCCAACCAAGTGCGGAAGCAGAACAAGGCTCTCACTCGCCGTTATTTTTCTGTGATGAAAAAATGTTCGACTCGGATGACAGCAACGATTTCAAATTCAACATTATTGAAACTGTTGCAGATATAGAACGTCAGCCACTGTTTGATGATTCCATTCCGGAATCCTGCGAGGACTTAGTAGTAAAACCACCAGCGCCTGTGAATCGAGGAAGTGCTGCAGGCATCACTTACAGCGACGAAGCTAAAATGGCAGCATACAAAAGAATTTTGCCTTTCACACTGAGTGATGAAGAAATATCTCGTATACAAGTTTTAGAATCAACTTTCGAACCAGACCCATTAGCACAGAAAAAGGAGGAAAGAACATTCACTAAAGAAGAGAAAGGTTTCAAGGAGAAAAACAGAATGTTTAGTGGCATGGAGCAAGATGAAATAATGCCCACAGAACTCATTGAGAAAACCTTCAACTTCAGACCTTGGGAGACTAAGGAGACAAAACCAAACAAAAAGGGCAAGAAGTAAACTAGGCCAGTGGTAATGGAGATGATTGCTACTAAATTGTAAATATTCACTTGAAGAAAATATATAATGCCTTCACTTTAGAATAGTATGTGAATATGTGTTAAAATAATGTTATTTCATTTCATCTTTAATGGCATAATATAAACCTGACAAATCTATTTAGTAAAATTGGTTTGTGCAAGGAAAAAAGTATTGAAGATAACCTCTTGCATAGATCATAAGATGGAGTTAAAGCTATAAAACTTTAAACAAGCACTTTTGACATGTCATGAAAACAACAAAGTCAAGAAATTTGTATGAAATAATAATGAAATAATAGGTCTAACATTCACCTAACATCTCAGTAAAAATACTTGCAATTGACAATGAAGCAGAACACTAATTTCTTAGAAAAATAAAGGAAAAAGCCCTGCAATTACTGCTGGAGAGTGTGTTTTCAGCAATTGGCACCTCATAAAATCAATGGCTTACCAGACAATTTAGAGACTAGCAAACTTTCATTTTAAAAAATGTTTAAAGTCTGAGCTGTAGATGAATTAATTCTTTTCCAAGTGGTAAAATCAACAATAAGCCAAGAAATGGATTATCGTAATTATACAAGAAAGATTATTTGTAAGAACCTACAGTCAAAAGCAAAAGATCAGCACGCTTATAAAAGTTAAAGTCTACAGCTATTTCTTAAACTAAATATAGAAACAGAATGCATTAAATATTGATTCAGAAAATAGCGACAAACCAATATTAGCCTTTAGTTGTATGACAATCTCTGTCTCTTCACATACTTTAGAATCTTTACGGAAACTGTTACTGGAAACTGAAAAAGAAAAAAAAATTTCTGGAAATTATTTAAAGTAACAAAATTTTGTTTTCGAATAATCAACGGAAGAATTATATTTTATGAAAACATCGATGTCCAGTTGTAATTCATTATCATACAAACCTAATTTAGCATAACTTAGTGTGGATTATACAAATTATATAAGTCTATAAAAGTGAACATCAAGCTTTAGATATTCATAAAATGCCAGAACTTTTAAACAAAAAACAATACTTTCTGGAATGACCTGTTCTTCATGAGATCTCTGAATACAGGCCGGATTCTTTTCTTTTACAAACATTGGAATCTGCATGATTGTCACTGGTTGCAATATGTGGATATTGTGAAGAATATGACCAGTAAATAAAGGATCATATCTCAATAAAACTGAAAAGAAAAAACTGTTTCTATTAGAAATCAGCAGACTTGATTGCCTCCACGATATTGGGTAACTGCAGTGCTCATAACAGTCAAATTACAAAGAGAAGTTTTCTAAAATTAATAAAGCTAACAAGGTATAGTATGATATTATGGTGATAGAAGAAATGCTTACAAGATGAACATATTCAACAAGTAGAGATGAGACACTACCAGATGTGGTGATGAAATCTTCAATCAACATACTGTATTTGTTTATAATTCTTGAATTCCCCTGTGAAAGTGTAAAATTAATAGTAACTTATTGCAACATTGTTGTATTTGGTATTCATGTACTTGTTCCTAAAATGTTTTAAAGTTTTCAATAAATGGTAGATAAATATATTAATAGAAAATTCACTTCATGATAGGGTCTGTAAAAACGAAGAAATGTAAAATTAACTGTAAGGTCGATCACAGGAGGAAATGGTACATAATGAAAATTTAGTTACTTAAAATCTCGGATTAAGGAATTGCTGAAAATCAAACAACAAAGTTTCATTTATCAAAATGGAATTTCCTTTTTGTGAATCATCCTTCTTTTAGTGTGACATTTTAATTTCATGAACTCATTCTATGAGTGTGTCGGTTTTTGCTTTAGTAAAATTAGTAAATTATCCCTCTGTTATGGAATGCCATGGTCAAATGGTAGAGCATTTGGTTGCTAGCCCTACAATCTCAAGTTCGGATCTTGGTTTGGACTTCTGACTGTAGGACTTTAGTCCACCCAGCTTTAATGAGAACCTAACTTACATTGGGGAAAGTAATGGGGGATGGGCATAATGCTGACCACATGATCCCTTCATATACAGAGGTCAAGAACATATTAATCACCTGCGTCTAAATAGGAACTTAACTATCCCTCTGTTAGTGTAATGTTTTCCATTTAGAAATAATCCCTCTAAGAATATAATTTTTTTCCTGGTGAATTTTTTCTGACAAAAGTAACTGACTATAAATAATATTTTATTTAGACATATGTTTGGGTCACTGATTTATTGTTTACATGATACATACCTATGAATATTCTGTACTTTGTATGTTATGCAATGTAAAGCACTAAGTTATTAATATGTTATGTGTTTTTCAAACCATGACAAAGATAAATATCTTGTCATATACAAGTTCGGGGAAGCAGGTGTATATAACTTACTTTTTAGATTTTTATTTGCAAAGTTTGCTGTCTAAATAACCAGCACATTTTAGATTTATTTTTGCAAATTTTGATGTCTATATTAATGTTACTTTAAGTTAAATATTTTTGACGTTTGATATAACTGTGTGAATGAGCGATTCATGATTTAATTAATTACGCTAGCTACAATGGGGCTTATCGATTTCATTCATCACAGAGCTATATTTATTCTAAATAGTTAGATAATAGATATTGCTTTTTCTGTCAAATATTATTGTCTGGATGATAATACCCCTAAAACAGTCTATAAATACCTACAGAACATGTTTAATATGCTTAAACTTAAACAAAGTAAAATTTACGTATGGTGAAAATGTTAACTTAAATATGTTGTTACCTGTGAAAAAATGCATTCCTGTGATGTTGATACTCGTCAATAGATTTATCTGCACTGTAAATACTGAACACTGACATATCTGAAAAAAATAATGTTAAATTTTCAGAGGCAGAAAAAAAGCATTAACAAAAAAAAAAAAAAAAACACAATGTCAACTTAAAAGCAGCTCTAGCTGCATAATTTATGTCCGTTCTTTTTTTATTGGGACGATAAATGTAAATTAACCAGAGGCGTCGTGAGGCGGACTGCACAGAGAAACACCATTGGGGGTGGGGGTGACACCAAGACGAAAATTGAAAAATATGAAGAAGAAAAATGCTTTTTGCGAGTTTAGTTAATAATTAATTAAAAATAAAACATATTTTAAGTACAAATTGACGTTTCCGACAAAACGGGGTGGGGTGACACCATGAGTTGCTGCACCGGGTGACACCCAACCTAGCGACGCCACTGAAATTAACAACTATATTTTAATAATTAAAAAACGTGTAGGCCTCTCTCATATTTTGATAATTGATGCAAATAGATATTTTTAAAATTTATAAAGTTATATAAACTTTATTTCTTTTCAATCGATTCAATTTCTAATCATTATATTGAAAATATATAAAGAATGTAGATTTTTTATATGTTAACTGCTTAGCTAATTAATTAATGTTATTCATATAAACCACGTATGACATTGTATAACCTTTTATGTATCAATGAAATACTAAAATTCTGTTACCTCCAGTAATTGAAATTATCAACAATTTATGTGTCCTATGGGTAAATCAAAATAATTCAGTGTATAAACATGAAGTATTCTTCTAGTTATTGAACCCAAGTCAGCTTTTCCAGTATTGTTGAGATTGATACCCTTCAACGGAAGACGTGGCGTGGTTGGGTAGTAAAGAGCTCGATTGATAGCCCAAAGGTCTCGAGTTCAGATCTAGGTCTGGACTTAAGACTGCAACACATCCTTGAGTCCACCCAGCTCTGATGGGTACCTGTTATAGGCAGCTGGGCATAGTGCTGACCACGCCATCTTTTTATATGCCAAGGTGAAGAAAAATAAACTTTACTTCATTAGCCCTAAGAATCTTTAGGTCTAAATGGGGAACTTTACTGCATAAAAAAAAAACTGAACCTACCTGAATATTGTATAGTTTGGCTGCCCCATTCACATTCAGCTCTTACATAGAGATGCTGATGAATTCTTGTATATCTTTGGTAGTTGTTCAGTCTTGCGTTACACCTAGCCTTAACAAATGTTATATTATGTATATATAATTTATGAAAAGCATATTTAAATATTTATTAATTAGACATTTGTTCATTATATGATAATTATTTTATATATTTTTTTGTGTTATGTGTGTTTGATACAAAACAGATTAAATTTTATATCAGCTTCTATTCAGAATTGTGTCAACATTTTTTATTATACGTTTTGATGTATTAAATTATATCAAGTTTAGCATACCATTGTCAAAATAACAAAATCTGTGTCAGCACAGAGAAATAGTTACTTCATCTGTTAAAAAAAAAAGCAGTTAAGTATCATCAAAAGGGCAAGTAAATAATTTTCTATTATAAAAAAAAAAAGGTAGAAGAACTCCCCGTGTGGCTCCGGGGTCTGGGCATGACCAGAAAAAGAATAGCGCCACTGCCGAGCTACATGCATGTCGTAAGAGGCGACTAAGTAGCCTGCAACATATTTGTTTAAAGGGTAGAATAATGAATCAAAAACTGTTTTCTTGTCCACATTTTGAAAACTACCCAACAAATATGTTGTTGAAATAGGGTTGAAAATCACTAAATTAAAAAAAACTATGCATCTAAAGTACCAGTTATCAAAATCTTCACCCTGTTAAAACTTCAGAAAAAGATAATTTTATTGGATGAATTAATGTAGGTAGACCATATTTTAAAAACAACAAAGCAAAGTAGTACACTTTAAGAGCTGAAAATACAGATATAAAAGTTTCAGTGCTGTTTCATGTCTTACCATCAAACAAGAGCTTATTTGGAAAACTCAAGATTTAAAAAATGCAAGCAAATAACGTTTCAACAAAAAACTGATGATAATAAAAGCTATACAGAAAACCATGGAATATTCGCCATAAGCTACTGATGCAAAAGATGGACACGAAAAGGTAAGCTGATTTTCTACCAGCACAGCTTTATTTAATTCATCTGCGCACTCTAAATGTATTTAGATTTTCAAAGGACTGTTGAAAAATTACAATGTTGGATGTTGCAGTCCACATATACCGCAACAACACCAATATATAACAAGATTCTCGATATGTTTAAAAAGTTCATATTATTAAATAACCATTTACTAACAGAGAACATTAAATTAAAGCAGATTTTAATTAGTTGAAATACATATCTAATCAATTAGAAAAGCAAAATATTCACTGGGTGCTCACCAGTGGTATTTTAAAAAAAAAAGACTTAAGCTGTTTCCTACAACCCTAATTCTAGTTATACTATTTAAAATTCAACAACCTGTTTGTTAATAGTAATAAAAAGTATGGATATGAGATTTACTTATTAATTAAGTCATACTAAAAGTCAGTTGTATTTGAAAATTAGGGGTAAAACATGATGATGTCTATAAAAAAATATGTTTATTAACTAGCTTCTAATTTTTAATTCCATCAAAACTATTGTGTATGAGTACACCACAAAACTAATAATTTATGAACTCATGAATTAGTAACAGAAATTTCTAATCTTAAATGCAGAAACAAGAATGTATTAAAAAAAGTAAATAAATGTTTCTAAAGAACAAATGTATGATGAATGACCACAAAGACCCCTTATATAGAATTGTTACAGCCCTTTCTTCTCACATGGTTAATTTACATTTTAGCCGTAAGGGTTAGGCTAGCTATTGGTATTATCAATTCAAAGTTTCAAGCTGTGTTAATTATTTTTGTTTGTTGTTGTCACTAAATAATGTCACATTTCTTTAAACTTACATTTTTAAAATTAAATATGACATACAGTTTGGAAATTACATTTCAAAATACAAAATTGTATTGTCACACTTTTTATGCCCACCCTCCACCACTGTCACACATTATCATAACATTCCCAGCCTCACCCCCAAGAAGTATGATGTCATGTAAAGATGACCCCTTGCGACTTAAGAAAACAAGACCTATGTAAATGTTACGCCTGTTATGATTTACATACATTTTTATAATGTCCTTGGTTTAACATGTAGGCCTCATGCTTATTTATGTTGTATGAAAACAGCAAACATGATTTGATTTGTTTAATATTACCACTGGATTTGTGTGGTTTCGCTATTTGGCTAATTGTACTGAAATTAGATGTTTATATTTAATGAAAAATAATTACATTTTAAGTATCCTGTCCTATCAAACGCAGTGACAAATAGGATTTTCCCACTGGTGCTTTTATTAATATTTTCTATAACCTGTCATTGTTTGTTCTGATTTCCAGATTTTTTATTTTAAAATTAATTGACAAAAGACCGACAGAAGTATTGATGACATCTGGATACTACAAAACATAACAATCACACTGAAGCAGTGTACTCTATAATTGTTATAAAGTAAGCAGTATTTGATTAAAATCTGAAAAAAATTCTTAATCCTATTTAAACAGTTTTAAGGATTCAAAGATTTTTCAAAAACATATGTATAAAACAAAAGTTGCTGATTATTTAGCGTAAGGTATAGTTCAAGCAACTCAGCATTATTTGACAAAATTAAAAAAAAAAACTTTTCGAAAGGTTTAATCCTTGCAATAAATTACTTTAATACTCGGCTTGATTCATTAATATAAAACTTGGCCTAATAATAATTACCAGTTTTAAAATGGCAGTTTTTGTGATATTTAAAAAAAGAATAAGGTGTACAGGGCCTTAATTTTAAAATAATGTCTTAATTATTACGTTTATGTCAGAAAAACTTAATATATATTTACTACATAAAATAAATTGAGGGCTCATGTCCACTACTGTGATGTTTTCGCTGATGAAAGGTTGGGTAGAAACATTGGGTTTAAGTTTAGGTGAAGAGTGGTCAAGTAATTTTAAGACCAGGCTAGTTAACTGGTTAGTTAAGGTTTGGGTATAGAGTATGTATAAGATTTAGAGTTTGTTTTAGAAATGATTTAAAGTCTAGAAACAAAAAAGTGAGTTTGATATAATAATGGACAGCTTGGGATTTAATGTTATTCTTTTGTTATGTTTAGTTTTAGTGGTAACATATGTGCATCTATTTTTAGGCTAGAAAAACCCTCTATAAACTATGAATTTAGGTCTATTCATATTTAACTATAAACATAAATAACCTAGGATCAATTAGGCCTGTCTATCCCACACCTATAAATGATAATATTAATAGGGTGGCTGTGTATTATTGTTGCTATTGATATACACTTAATGATAAACAATGAAGAAAGCAACATTAGTTCAGGGGCTAAGCTGTGACAGGATTAGGGGCTAAGCTGTGACAGGATTAGGGGTTAAGCTGTGACAGATGGCAATAAAGAATAGGGTATATTGATAGCTTTATTTTCATCCAGCATACAAAATATGACACAGTACTAATAAATTTAGCTTAGGGACACAATAAAGAAATAATACTTATTTATTGTTAACAAATGACTGATCCTGTGATAACAAGTATAAGTTATAAGTCTTAGCCCCCAATATGGCTTAATGATAAAATATTACTTCTATCAATAATCATTATATTTTGTACAGAAAAAGCCTTTGTTAGAAACCAGTGTAAGAAATGAATCATATTCCTTTCTTTTTCTAAACTTAAAACTTGGTCAGTTAACCGAATTAATTCCATTTGAAATAAATCATGAAACTTATTTTAATGTAAAATAAAATACATTAAATTTACAATTTAAATTTACTAGGCCATGGAAGCATTTTCTAATTAAAGAGACTTTAACAAGTCGGCCTATATCCCTCATGAAATTTGTTAGAGCCCCATACTCATAGCAGATATTGGTCAGATTTGTTTCTAAATGAATATAGATCTACATATTTGTATGTGTGAGTGTATAAATAAATACAAAAATATGTATGTTAAAAAAAATTGTATGCAATACAGTTTAAAAGGTTATTCAGTTACTAACAGAATGATGTATAACATGTTAACGTAACACAATAAAAGAATTTTAAATAGTAGCATTGAACATGCAGGGGGTAGGGAAGAGCGATTTTGTCAGATTTTCTCAGCAGCGGCATTGGCTTAGCTAAGTGCTCCATACAAAAAATGTGCTCATTAAAATTAAATTTTTAAGAATACATCATACTAGAAAGGTTTACACTATTTACATTTCAAATTATTATACATTTTATACATAGATATGTAAGAATTTATTATATATAAACAAACGATAAGAAAAAATTAATAAATACCTACAAATTTAAATAATTTTTGTATGATTGTTCAATGTTTTTTTTTGGCTTGAAAATATAGAATTCAAACGTTCTTATTTTTATTAATCATTGACAATGTAAGGTTAGCAAAGTGGAATAATACACATAATATCTTTATTTTTAAAAGGGTCAGAATTAGGGAATGATAATGGGATAAGGTAATGACATGAAAATGAGTGGTCATCTGCTAATCTTTCAACACCCACCAACCAGAGTGACTAAAAGTCAGATTCTCCGCTCCAAAAACGACGACAACATTAAGTCTGTATAAAACCCCATAAACTTTTTATTTCAAAACAGACGAGTTATTTGAAATATTATATAGTTCCAGGTCATAATTTGATATAGACATCTGTATTTTTTTTAAAATAAAAATTAATTTAAAAAAGAAAAAGTCCTGTAAAAAAACACCTCATTAACTACTTGAGTTCAGGTTTTGAAAATACTAAAATAAATAATTATACAAAACATGTCACATTTCTTCACTCTAACCATACAAGACAGGGTCTTTGTTTATAGATGGCTCCTTAAATATAAAGCAATACTAGAAAATTAATGGTTTTGGTTTGAAATTAAATACATTCGGTACAAGCAAAGATTGATACTCTGTTTTAATTTATTATTCTTCACCACTTCTTTTACATACTGGGTGTAAATTAAGTTTTAAAAAAATATTTTCGGCAACACCTACAAATTCAACTGTATATTCAAACTTAAATTTATAAATTATTGGGCTTGATAAATGGTGATAACCAAATTAGTAATTACAGAAGGTCGTAGTCCCCCAGTATTTGTATATACCACATAAAA